AGGAAAGCCAAAGCAGCAGGAGTCACTCTTAGGAGGGAAGGGAGAAAGCAAGAAGTGGGGGAGTGGCGCAAGGGAGCCACAAGAAGATGAACGGGAGTGGGGGAGCCATTGTCGGGATGGGAGCGCCTATCCAAATGCTGGTATGCCACATGAAGAGGCCAGGTTGCCTTTGTGAGAGGTGTCAGCATGGTGCACCCAGCCCCTGCATTGTGAAGCACATTAGTTGGCATTTCTGAGCAAGGCGGTAGCTGGCCAGACTTCAGGGCGAGGAAGCTGGTGGGAGGTGGTGGGAATGAGCAGTGTTGGACAACTGGCCGGCATTCTTTGAGAGACCATTTACAGTGGATGTGAGCCCACCTCCATTCTCAGACGCCTGTTCTTTTGCTCTAATATTTGGTGGCTTACCATCCAAGTCAGTCCACATGGGATGCATTTTCTCTCTTTTCTGTATGATTCTGTCATGCCTCCACAGCTTGGGAAAGTTTGATTTCCTCTGCTTTTAGGAAGCTCATAATTAAATCAGATTTAGTACTGTACTAGTCAAATTAAATCTGATCTTCTGTACTAGTCAGGAGAAAGCAAAACTCTTGCATTTGCATTTCTGGTTGAATGCCCTCCAGTGACTGCAATGGCAATGGAGAGCCCTCAGCACCATGCAGGATCAGGCTGTGTAGGACTTTCCCAAAGGAATAGTGTTTCTCCATTCCGAGAACTGACAGTTTGCTCAGCAGTGTTGTATCACAAAAGCCTCACATTTCTGGAATGGCATTTTGGGAGAGGCCGAGCTCTTCCTCCTCCAGGGCAAGGCATAAACTGAAGATGTGCATAGGAGATGATGATGTGCCTTGCGATGAAGTGATAATACCACTGCTATTGGCCATATAAGGAAGTGCCTGCCATGTAAAACTGATTTCACATCTTGTTTATTAATGACAAGCAACAAAAAGAGACTTCTCCTGGGCTAGTTTCTAAGAGGATGAGTGTAAGAAAAGTGACAGAGTACAAAATACAAAATACAGCAGGTGCCTTGTGCATACAAGAACACCTGCCTGTTACTGCCAAAGATAATCTCTCTACAGCAGTGCAGGAATGTATAATAAAATTTACCTGCATTTGGCACGAGTCCTTTATTATTTAAATATTTACTAAACACCAGCAGGGTTGGTGTATATGTGCGCATATGAGGAAAGGGTTTATACATTACCAAGAAGAACTTGTTTTATCATAATCAGGAGGACTGGGTGCACAGGGCATTGGTAATGGTACTGATTGGCTACGTCTAGACTGGCATGATTTTCCCCAAATGCTTTTAACTGAAAAGTTTTCCATTAAAAGCATTTGCAGAAAAGAGCGTTTAGATTGGCACCGACGCTTTGCCGCAAAAGCACTTTTTGCGGAAAAGCGTCTGTGCCAATCTAGACGCGCTTTTTTGTGCAAAACAAATCTGAGCTGTCTACAGTGGCCCTTTTGCACAGAAGCTTTGCGCAAAAAGACTTGCCCGAATGGGAGCAGCATAGTATTTCCGCAAGAAGCACTGATTTCAGATAGTAGGAAGTCAGTGTTCTTGCGGAAATTCAAGTGGCCAGTGTAGACAGCTGGCATGTTTTTCTGGAAAAACTTGCCAATCTAGATGCAGCCATTATGTTTAAAGTTCAAATTTGGCTCAGCTTGGTAGTGGACAAAAAATGTTGCCAGGCAGTGGCTATTTATTGGCTTTTGTAAAAGTAGCTGATGGTCATAGGTTTCCTGATGCAAAAGTCCAGATGCAGATATAAATCAAAGAAAAATGTGATGCCACAACCTAAGATCGCATTATTTCTTTCAGCAGAACAGCATTAATGACAACAGAGGGGTAGGTGTGTTAGTCTATCACTAAAAAAAATTAAAAATCAACAATGCTCCTATAGCACCTTAGAGACTAACCAAAAATATAGACAGTATCATGAGCATTTGTGGGATAGGGTTTTCTGGTTCCCACCCCTTCTGCTGGGGCACCATTTCAGATTTTGGTGGTGGGGTGACCTGTGCATGCCATGATAGGGGGAGAGGAAGAGAATAAGAGCATGAGGGGGGCAGACTGAGGACACAGGCTTCAGCAATGTCACTGAGCATGTTCAGTACAAGCTAAACATCACATTAGGGAGAGGAGGAAGCCAACCCCATCATCTCTATCAAGGGGCTACCATGATACTGGAAAACTCTACTTTTTTTTTAGCAGAGAAATTAGCAGTTAGTTGACAGAAGCACTGTATTTAATTCCTATGTAAAAGAAAGACAAATAAATATTAAACCCACTCAGCTCTCACACTAGTATATGCTGACATTTTGTGGCAAGCCACTTATGGGACATTGGTTAGCCTTAAAATGTTAATATATATTTTTACTTTTCCACCACAGAGTTAGTAACTGAGAGACCCCCATCAGGACTCATGGCTCTATCTCAGTTCTGAAAGAGGAGTGAGGTTTAGTGGGTTACATCAGCGGGCAGATATATTTCACCTCTGTATGATGATGATGGGCGATCACTCATGGCTGAATATGATCATCTTCCATGGAAATTGTGGATCCTCAGGTGGCTGATAAGGCCAATCCTTGAACCATAAGTTCTGTTACAACGCGGACTGATGTTTACAAATACAACAGGAGGCTGTTGACCATGACTAAAAGCCAGTCTCCCCTTCCTCCTGCACCTCTTCTGCTTCGCCTTTGTAAGCAGGCAAATTCAAAATGCAGGGAACCATTGCATAAGACTCAGGAGCGGCCCGAGGCCAGCTGCAGCAGCTGGCGCCCTAGGCGGGGCAGTGCAATCGGCGCCCGTGCCTGCACGGCTGTCAATGGTCATGACGTCATCATTGGGCGCCCAGGCCAGCAGCGCCCCTGGCAGCTGCCTAGCTTGCCTAGGCTCACAGGCCGCCCCTAATAAGACTTCTCTCCATTTTGAGCAATCTTGGGTGAGTGTCTCCCAAGGGTCAACATCAATGTTGCACTTCAAGTTATCCTTTAGCAAGCCCTTATAATATTTCCATTGTCCTCCCACATTATGGTATCCTTCTTTCAGCTGAGAAAACAGAACCTGTTTTGGGAGGCAAGGCTCTGGCAATGTGACCAGTCCTGCGAAGTTGCTGAAAGATTATCATTGTCTCGATACTGGCGGTCTTTACCTCTTCCAGAACACTAATGCCTGTCTTCCCATTTGATCTTCAAGATCTCGCAGAAGCAATGTTGGTGAGACCTCTCAGGGACTTTCAAGTGATGTCTGTAGGTTGTCCAGGTTTCCATCCCACACAGTAGTATTGGGAGAATTATGGCTTGATAGACAAGAGTTTGGTGTCTGTTTGAATGTCATGATCTTCAAAAACCCTTGCCGTAAAAGAGCAAAGGCTGCACTGGCACAGCTAAGATGATGTTGGATTTCTACATCACTATCTGCCTTGCATGAAAGATAACTTCCAAGGTAGAGACAATGATCAACATTCTCCATCTCCTCTCTCTTGTTTTTAATAGGTAGGGCATATGGTACCTCATTTGGAGAGGGATGATGGAGCACTTTGGTCTTCTTGATGTTGAGGGTGAGATCAAGATGTGTGTAAGCATCAGCAAACATGTTCAAGATAGTTTGAAGATCTTTCTAAGAATGGGCAAAAACTACATTGACTATCAGATGTATATAAGAACATCAGAATGGCCATATTGAGTCAGAATAGTGGTCCTTCAGACCCTGTTCCCTGTCTTCCAACAATGGCCAATGCCAGATGCTTCAGAAGGAATAAACAGAAGAGGCAATCATCATGATCCATCTCCTGTCACCTGTTTGTTTGAAATCTGCTGCCTATAAAATTAATTGGGTCAGCTTCTTCTGTTATGTTACTGAAGGAATGAATAACATTTCCTTATTCTATTTTTCTACACCATTCATGATTTTCTAGACCTGTAACATATCCCCCCCGCTCTTTAGTCATTTCTTTTCCAAGCTGAAAAGTCCCCATCTTGTTATGCTCTCCTTATATGGAAGCTGTTCCTTACCCCCTAATAATTTCTGTTGCCCTGTCTATATTTTTTCCAAATCCAATATATCTTTTTTTAGATTGGTTGACCAGATCTGCATACAGTATTAAAGATGTGGCATACAATGACTTTATATAGCGGGAATATGGTATTTTGTCTGATTATCTATTCATTTCCTAATGATTTCCAATATTCTGTTAGCTTTTTAGTTTTAGACTGCCACTGCACATTGAGCAGATGTTTTCAGGGAACTATCCACAAATGATTCCAAGATCTCTTTCTTGGGTGGAAACAGCCAT